GTCGGTGTGGAAACGTGGCACGGCGCTTCCCCGGGTCGGTGCTTTCCTCTCCTAATGCAGGATTGTAGCCGGGCGGTCCCGGAGGATGGGGGTGATGGCTAGTTTGCAGTAGGCAGGGGGTTAAACACCGCCCATTCGGGGGCACCAGGAAAAAGAGAGATTGTAGGCAGGCTTCACTGGCCGTGTTCCTTCAAAAAAAAAGCCAAAAAAAAAAAAGCCGCGAAGTGCAGAATGAAAGACGGGAGCAGGAGAAGGCTGGAGGACTGAGGCCAACGGGTCTGTATGTCCCCACACCCCATCTCCAGCTGGAGCCAGAGGCAGATGCTACCAGAAAAACTGCAAAGAAGAGGGCGAGTGCCCAGGGAGCCTCCCTCTCCAGTACCTTCCCGGCCTCCCACTCAGGGATGTAGAGGCTAAGCAGTGACACCTGGCAGTGGTACATTAACTTTTCTCAAAGACAAGGTCCAGTGTCATGAAGGCATTCATCCCAGCAGATATTTCTGCCTTTGTGTTCTGCTCTGTGCCTCGTTTTTCACCCTCGGTGAACTCCATGTCCTAGCATCAATGCTTCTCTCCAGCCTTCAAAGCAGTTAGTTACCCCTGTGGATCCTATGGCGTGTTGGCTTGTAAGAAATGCTGAGAAATTTAAATGACTGAAAAATCAAAAGGCTTGTCTAATACAACAGCACCCTCTTCCAAACACCCTGACATTGTAATGTTTAAACAGCTGCACTGTACCGTGCAAAAGCTCTGCAGCCAGCATGATCTAAACCTTCAGAAAGAGACCATAAATATTTCTAATTTCCACCCCAAAAGCATGTGAATTGTCCAGACCCCTTCCATCTAATAATCAAAATTGACTGTGAAGTGAAATAACCTGAAAAGTTCTATTTTTTTCTGAGAGAGAAAAAAAAAATAGAACAAGAATCACAAATGTATGAACAACTGCAGACAACTAAAACCGCAAAGGACTTCGGGATGAAGATATGTGATAGTGTATTCACTAGGTAAAAGTGAAATTATCATTGATGTCAACAATGCAGCTGCCTGTTGTACGTATTTTCCTTAGTGGCTGCAGCCAAAATTGACAGAACTAACATGAAATTTATGAGTTAAAAGTCATTTTAACAATTCTTTTCTGTATTAGTATCCTACTGCTAGGGAAGGGGCAAAACTATCCAGACTTAGAAGAATCAGTTTTGAGCGATCCAGTTTCTTCCCATTCTTCCCATTTAAAAAGAGAAGAAGAGTGGGAGCATTTGGTACAAGGGGTCAAGTTGCTGCCGTGCTCTCAGTTTCTGGACCTAGATCCCTGTTAAAGGTTCAGGATGATGCTGTTGTTTGGGTCAAACTTGTAAACAAAGTGTGCAAAGTGATACAACCTAAACTTAATATAAAACTTGCAGCTCAGTACTTCTGCTCAATAGGGGCCTCTGGTCAGTGATATCACTACCAAGTTTTGCTCCTGCCTTTCATGGCTTTAACTCAGGCATGATGAGTGGAGGTGAAAATCCATCTCGCCCCGGCCCCAGGTGAGAGCAGGCTCCGGGCACGCAGCCGGCGCAGGAACGATGCCGGGACTTCTCCCATCTCTCTAGTGCTTTGGCTTTCCAAATTGTCACATTTTGAAGTCCTGTTTCTTGATGCCTGTTAGAAACTGTTAGAAACATTCTTTCTTTCTCCTCATTTTTGGGTTTTTGTTGTGTTGTGTTTTTTTTTTTTTTGGTGGTAGGCAAAATGAAGAAAATGAAGAATTTTTGCCAACTGGAGAAACCTCCGTAGACTCCTACCCAAACTGGTTAAAATTCCACATTGGCATTAATCGGTACGAGTTGTATTCCAGACATAATCCCGCAATTGAAGCTTTACTACAAGACCTGGTCACCCAAAAGATAACCAGTGTTGGTATGTTCAGATACATATTTTTTTATGATTATTTGCTCATTGTTGGGGATCTCATTGCTGTTTAAATCTTAATATTTTGCATGGCTTCTCTCCAATGTGCCTACAATGTTGCTTCCCGACTTCTGCACTCATTTTCCCTGTTAAAGAGATATTGCCAGCTCTGAATTACCTGAATAATTGTGAAACCTGCCAGCAAGGAAACCCCATTTATTTCAAAGATCTTTTAATCACGATCAGGCTGAAAGTGCCCTATCCAGTTACGTAAAATAAATGTGGTAATTAAAAAAGGGATGGTGAAAAGCAGATAGCTAGCATCTTGCATGTGCTCGGTTTGTGTTATTAGCTGATTATTATTTAAAAGGCTGTGTCTGGCAGTGCTCCTCTTCCAGAGGAAGGAGCGAGGCGACTGACCTGCAGCCCTGCAGCGATGGCTGCGGGAGCATCCGGTGCCGCGGGGTTCTGCGGAGCTGCAGCTTCCCCGGGCGTTGCATGCGGAGCTCCAGGCGAGCCAGCCTCCCGCTGAGCAGGGTTCAGCTCTGTTTATTCTGCTTGTAAATCCACGACAGGGATGTGCCCGTGTCAACCTTTGGCTCTGGTTAAACAAGGTGACGCCATTCGGGGCTTTTCTCCAAGGCTGTTTAATGACAGCATGTGTCTCTTTGGATTTAGCTGCGTAGCCGTGCAGGGATAAAAAAAAATCAAAACACAACCCCAAGTGAAAGCCCTAGGATACTAAACAAATGCACAGCCCGCGGTTTCCAGAGGTGGAGAGCGGCAGCACAGCTAGCGGTTTCCGTTGGCCACGCAGAAAATGAAGTTGCTTGCGCTGACCACAAAGTTGCTTAGTGCATTTCAGAGGGATGGAACAGCAGGAGCTCTGTTAAAGTGCTGATGGTGTGTTGGCACTGTGGGATGAGGTCAGCAGGTCTTTAACCCTGCAAGGCAAAA